TCAACAAACACAAATCTTGATTATGAAACAGTGATGAAGGCATTTTAAAGATGGCGTTGTGAAAGTAATAACTCATTTGTGGTATTTGAACCAGAGCAAATTGATTTCTTTTTTTTTTTTTTTTGTGGTAAACCTTTAGACATACAAATTGAATTGCTCATCACTGAAAAACTATTGCCTCTTTACCAAACAAATTATTATGGTGACATTGATAAACTAAGCAAGCTCTTTACGCTTCAGGAAGAAAACATACAAGACAATAGAATAGTTAAAATCACAACCACAGAAACCTTTTAATAAAATTTAGTTGATTATATTGGTACACTGCTATTATTCCAGTTCTTAGAAAGGTTCATCTTTTCAAAACATTTTCTCTCTGTCTCCCCCCCCTCTCTCTCTTTCTCTCTCTCTCTCTCTCTCTCTCTCTCTCTCTCTCCTTTCACATTAGTTAAATTCTCAAAATTTGCAAAAGCTAGTTTTGATAGTAAAATTATTAGTTCCAAATCATCTAAACCATTGTATTACTCTGCCCAAACTATGTATGTTCACCTAGAGTTATTTTTATACAATTAAAGATATTGTTAAATAAACTATATCTGAAACAAATTGTATTCTTCAGGATATTCAAGACAGCTGTGAACCTTCCATGTTCTCCTTGGAAAGGCTGCTTTTCAGTATTGCTTCTGATGCTCGTTCTCACATCGATGTTTTGAAACAAGTAAGTTTAATATTGAAATCATTTTTTTCTCATATTCATTCACATTATACTATCTTATCATAATTATTTTCTGTACTTTCAAATTAGATATGCATTCTCTAATATTGTAGTCCGCACGGTAGTAAACAGTTGTTCACTCTCAGCAATGATGATATGAAAAACATAAGGCAGTTACAATACAGAATAAGCCACATCAACCACTGGAAGTCTTCCAGTGTTCATAAACGTTAATATCTTGATTTTGGACAAGTTTTACTTATCTTGTTACGATTTATTTCTTGTTCATAAATATGCAGTTCTTGTGACTAACAAAATGAGCCACACTTCAACCAAAATTAGAATTATCAACATTTACAAATAGCAGATGTTCAGTGGCTGGTGTGCCTTATCTTCTTACTGTCCTAAGGCCTTTGTATTGTCTTTTTTATTTCACGTTTTATTTGAATGAAAAGAATTTGATTACTTATTTGCACTTACACATGTTTTCTCAGAGAAGAAACATTTGGCTATAGTATTTCGGATATTGCTATGTGTTTCTCCTCTTACTGACTTTTTTGATCAAGCTAAACAGACACATGTTGCAAACAATAAATAAATGAAAACAGTAAAAGAAGTCAACAATTGAGAGATGTGTGACATTGAAATATTCAATCTATACAATTATAATTAATGTGACAACAGTTGTCATATTAATTAAAATTTGTATAGGTTGAATTTAAGACTACAGCTCTCTGAAATCCAATTATCATACATTTCTATTGGAAACAATGCTTCCAAGGCTCTGAAAACCACGTTGATGTGTTCCTAAAGGGAGGCGAATTTTCTAGTCTCAATCTACAAAATGATGGTTTTAGAAGTTCTAATTCATTTTTTGAGGGTAACCCCACTTCGTAGTACAGCTTGAGAAAAACATTCGAAATGAGGTTTCAGAATGTAATTATTTTCACTTTTAAATAAATACTAAAAATAATGGATTTTCAAATGCACTGTTATTACACAAATGAGTACATATTTAAATGAAATGAAGGTGGATTTTTCTATTGTGCAACAATCACAATTGTGAAAATGTTGAGATGTCAACAGTATGATTTTAATTAATGATTCAGTAAAACCCGTTTTACGTACAATTTACATTTTCCCGGCATTTACAACATTTCTTGTCAATCCGATTAGTTTTCATATAATATTCATAAAGTTATAAACATTCCGCGTTTATGATAGTATAATTTCAATTCTCCCCCATTTTACAAAAGTCTGCTTGTCACAGCACGGTCTAGAAAGCACTTGGCGTGGCGCCCAACGGGCGCAGTCGCTGCGCTCTCCCACCACCTTGCCGCGTCAAAAACGACAACAGAAAGACTATTGAAATGTAGCGATATTATGAAGAGTTATGAAATTGTACATGAAGACTAGAAGATTTATATATAATGAAAATCGTTATTGAGCAGCAGGGCCAATATGCAAGAATTGAATTGAATTTGCCTTATTTTACGTGGCGAGACTCGGGCCATCAGGCCCGCTCTTCCGTCTGACCACGCAAATTTCGCTACGCTCCTTCCACCAACTAGGAGAGAAATTTCTTGGGCGAGAAACAGGCGATTTGAATTTAGCTCAGAGGCGTCATTTAGGCTTGAGGATCTTTTACATGCAAGTAAATCTACGAACATGGGACAGCCGGCTTTACTTCCCCTCCGAAGGAAGGCGTACGAAGGAAGGCGTACGAAGGATTTTTTCGCCCTTAAAAATCCACGGCTTCGATCGGGTTTGAACCCGCCAACTTGGGTACAACAGTCCAGTACGCTAACCGTTACACCATCGCCGCCGCCATCGCCAATAATGATAGAAGATTATAAGGTCTGTGCCACATGAGCGTTGCGTTGAGTTGACGCGCGTCGCCGAACTCTGCTGACGCCAGGTGCGTCGATGTCTGCGCACACGAATCACTTAACACGCGTGGTAGATTAACACTGTATCTTACGCGAAAAGACACAAGCGCTCGTGGGGACGTGCGTTGTTGCCAACGCTCGACGCGCGTTCAAAGCTAAAAAACGCACTATATCTTCATTTAAGTTGTAGCTTGAACGTCTTGCTTTAGCTGTGGTCACAACTCACGTCGCTAAGGCCGTTCCTGTGCCCTTTTGCGTTAGATAGTGTTAATCTACGACGCACGGTATGTGACGTGAGCACAGTCATCAGTGTTAGGTGACACGCATAAACGCAACGCTCATGTGACTCAGGTCTAAAAGAGGTAGCCTGTAAATTAGTTGCATAAAATTTTTTTTCTATTATTTCATAAATAAATAAATAAATAATTCTAAAAATTACTTGTTGGAAATCATTACAAACTGCTGAAAACAAATATTTTATAAGTTTGGGAAAATGTTAACTTTGCATTTGTTTCTTATAGTCGAAAAACAATTTCTCCCTTCATTCAACATTGAGTGCATCGTTGCTTCGTCAAAGGCTACGATCAGTGGATAGCAGGGACTCATGGAAGTGTCATTGCCACATTTAAAATCCACTCTGCTTCGGTTAATACGCCTTCGATTTCCGATGTCAAAAATGTTGGTCACATTTCTATTTGATCTTGTAAAATTATTATTATTATTATTATTATTATTATTATTATTATTATTATTATTATTGAATATTAAAGAATATTAAAGAATATTATAATCCTTATTGATTGTATGTATCTAAATTCATTAAACTGTACTCACAGTTTTGTAGAATAAAATCATTTCCCCTTATTTACACTTCCCGGAATTTAAACCGTGTTCGCTAGGGTCCCATGAAAACTATAAAAGAGAGGTTTTACTGTATTTACATTTTTGATATGTAACTATTAGACTTGTAATTCTTTCTATGTAGGAGGGTTGCTTATTTTATTCAATCAATCAGTGATATACGAGGTGTGAAATATTTCACAGGGGTTCATCCAAAAGATTTCTTTAATATCGGTGTTGTCCTCATATTTCGGTAACTATGGTAAATTCCATTTATTGTTTTAATTTTGTTTTGTGCGTACTTCTGTCCATTCTTATTTGAATGAATCATTATGTCAGAATAATGTATTTCAACATAAAATGAGATATTTTTCTCTTATAATTTTAGTATTTATTTAATTAATTTAATATTTCTTTGAAGATTTTCAATTAAGTGTGTTGGCTATTTATGCTTTGTGATCAGAAATACTGAATTTTTGTTTGTTTTAGAGTTTCTTTGATTGTTTTGGTTTATGATCAATGGCATGACTGAACTTTTCTTTTTCTGTTATTCTTGTAGGTCTGTAAGACATGGATATTAAGTCTTTTTATCATGTCTTTTAGTTTATTATCTGTTTTGTGTGTGTTGAGGTGTCCTTATTATTCTTGTTTATTCAATAGTTCTTCCAACTTTGCCATTGATATATCAATCAGTTTCTGAACCTCGGGTTCTGTATTTTCGAATAATTTTACTAATTTATTTTTCATGTGTCAGGTTAATCTCAGATACTTATAAAAGCAAACTATATTTCCCCATATAATTTGATTGTATAACTGTTTTGTTGTTGTTTCTGCGCTTCCATCTTTCTCTGCAAAATTGTGATGCTAGAATACACATTCTCGGTTTGTATGTTTTAATTTCTTTTATATTTCACTTATTTTCTCTCTCTCTCTCTCTCTCTCTGTCTCTCTCTGTCTCTCTCTCTCTGTCTGTCTCTCTCTGTCTGTCTCTCTCTGTCTGTCTCTCTCGTCTGTTCTGTCTCCTCTCGTCGTCTCTCTCTGCTCTGTCTCTCTCTGCGTCCTCTCTGTCTGTCTCTCTCTGTTCTTCTCCTCTTCTGTCTGTCTCTCTCTGTCTGCTTCCTCCTGGTCTGTCTGCTCTGTCTGTCTCGCTGTCTGCTGTCTTCTCTTCTGTCTTGTCTCTCTCTTGTCGTCTCTCTCTCTGTCTCTCCTCTCTCTGTCTGTCTCTCTCTCCTGTTCTGTCTCTCTCTCTGTCATGTCTCTCTCTCTGCTGTCTCTCTCTCTGTCTGTCTCTCTCTGTCTGTCTCTCTCTCTGCTGTCCCTCTCTCTCTGTCTTTTCTCTCTCTTGTCTTCCTCTCTCCGTCGTCTCTCTCTTCGTCTCTCTCCTCTGTCTGTCTCTCTCTCGTCGTCTCTCTCTCTCTGTCTCTCTCTCTGTCCTGTCTCTCTCTCTGTCCTGCTCTCTCTCTGTACTGTCTCTTCTCTCTGTCTGTCTCTCTCTCTGTCTGTCTCTCTCTCTGTCTTCTCTCTCTCTGTCTTCCTCTTTCTGTCTGCCTCTCTCGTCTGTCTCTCTCTCTTTCTGTCTGTCTCCTCTCTGTCTGTTCTCTCCTCTGTCTGCTCTCTCTCTGTGTCTCTCCTCTGGGTCCTGTCTCTCTCTCTGGTCTCCCTGTCATACATAATGTACCACAACATCGGCACCAAGTCCCGAACCTTGTGGACACCGCCTTTACCGTATAAAGATTGTACTCCAAGAACACATTTCATAATAGGAGACTCTCTCCTTAAAGAACTTTACCAATCGAATTACCTTGAACTCCAAGAGTTTGGGCGCAGAAGAAAAATGGAGCCACCTTGCAACGAAAGGCGTTTTCACGTCTAGTCACTATATCACAATACTTAATAGGACCGCCTTTCCATCGTTGCCTTCAATGGTCATCTCGATGTCGATACTGCCTTAATACATCTACCGTGATACGCATTTTCTAAAGCCTACTATATCACACAATCCTTGAGGCCCCTCTGTAAAATGACTCAATACGATGCAGATAATCCGCTCCAACACTTTGCCTGCTTTCCATAAGCAATTGGCATAGCTGCCGAATCAGTAGGTGCCATATCCCCCTTCCCAAGAAACTAGCTGTGTTGCGCTTCCATCGACGGAAATTCCCCTCTCGTATGCATGCCATTATATGCGTCAAAATAGATCGCGAGTCTTAATACGTCTTAATTGCTACATTGGGAACTCCCATCTAATCCGGGCTTTGCAATCTTGACCTTCCGCAAGCCTGAAAGTTCATCCAACGGACTCCGGAACCTCGCTATAATCTTCCAAGACAATCCTCGGGTGTTTAACATAGTCTACCTGGCGAGAAACAATAGCTACAACTTTTCCAAGAAAACCGGGCAATGTGTCGCCTGAACATACCCCTGAGTCGGGCCGTAAACACCAGCTTATACAGCGATCCCCAGGTTCACAATCCACCCTCCTCCCCTACTCTCTCCAGCAACGACACTTATAATCTTAATACTTTTGTATAAAACTCTTCTGGCGTCCAGATGTTGCTTCTGAAAATCGTTATTGGCGGCTCCAGCACGCTCGTCCATCACGCTGTCGGCATCCCTGCGAAGTTCCCATCTCTTCAGT